TATTAGAAACAACTTGGCTACCGCGACTCTAGCTATTACTGGGAGGTGAACTACACAGAGGTGCTTATTCTTAAACGCATTGGCACAGGATCATTTGGCACAGTATTTCGCGGCAAGTGGCATGGAGACGTGGCCGTTAAGATCCTCAAAGTCACCAATCCTACCGCAGAACAGATCCAGGCCTTCAAGAACGAAATGCAGGTTCTCAGGTAACTAGAAAAGCTCACAGTGTTCCTGTGTCGCTGCTATCGTGGACCTATCGCACTAAACTGGGTTTGTTTTATTGGTAGGAAAACCCGTCATGTTAACATCCTGCTGTTTATGGGATTCATGACGCGGCCGAACTTCGCAATAATCACACAGTGGTGCGAGGGGAGCAGCCTGTATCGCCACCTGCACGTGATTGAGACGCGCTTTGACATCTTCCAGCTCATTGACATCGCTCGGCAAACAGCCCAAGGCATGGAGTGAGTGATCAGAGCGGCACTCTGCCCGTTACCACGCGCTCCGTAATGTCTCATCCAGTGTATCTCTTCTACCATACTCCCATTCTTTTCATGAAACCACCTTCCTCAATATCTTTCTTTTTATCTATTTATACCCAAATCATGATTTCTCCTCCCACCACCCACCAATTCCACACAGGCGGGTTTGCTAGTGGCAGCGTCTAGAAGGGTTTTGGTGTTGGAGCCTTATTTAATGTTGGAGCTCGTCCCGGGAACCCAAAGAATGTGCATTCCCAGCTATAATGATAATACAGTGACTGCCATTCCATATTATGACTTGTAATTCTGTCTTTAATGTTCTAATAACCCACATATTTAATATGCATTGTGTGATCATAAATAATAGATCATCCTTTTATCTTTTAGTTACCTCCATGCTAAGAATATCATTCACCGCGACCTGAAATCAAACAGTATCCTTATACTCTTTGTCTCTTGATTCTCTTCTGTCTCCTAAAGGGGGCAGCAGAGTCCTGTGTGTGTGCTGTTACTGCCAGGGACCATTTGGATAGATATGACATCCATCGCGGGCCATACAAAATTATCAGCTGAAAAATTAGCCCGTCTGTCTCTTTTACCCCTTCCACAGCCCCTCTTTCTTTTTGTACCTCCCCACCCCCTGTGTGTCTCTTTCCCCTCAGCATGTATTTTTTTTTTTTCTCTCTGTGTCTGTGTGTCCCCCAGCCCCTCCATTCATGTTTCTCATTTCCCCAGCACCCCATGTGTTTCTCGTTTTCCCCTGGTTATCCCCTATGTGTGTCTCTTTTCCCCAGCACGTTTTTTTTTCCTCTCTCCCTTCCTCTCTCTTTGTCATTCCCTCAGCCATCCTGTGTTTCTCATTCCCCCAGCCCCCCATGTGTCTGGTTCCCCCCAGCCGCTGCCCCCCATTTGTCTGTTTCCCTCTGTGTATCTCATTTCCTCCCCCCCACCCCCCTCCAGTACCCCAATGTCGCCTGTGCCGCTGTATGCTAACACCAGCCCTGATTTCATGGGCTGGAACTTCCCCCATTGCCCCAGCCCTCCTATGTGTCTCATTCCACCAGTCCCCATGTATCTCATTCCCACAGCCTCCCAGTTTATCTCATTCCTCCAGTACCTTCATTCATGTGTCCCCTGTGTTACTGGGAACTGAACACATTCCAAATCAAGCTGCTCTGGATTGTAACTACCATCAAAAGCTGGCTGAGCATGATGGGGTGCTGGTGTTCCAGAGGTTTTCTATTCTGCTTAAGAATGGAATGATTTCCTGCTGTAGTGAAACTGTGAGACCTCTATCAGTAGTTATTGGGTGAGATTTTAACTTTCAGGGTATTTCCCTTTAACCTGTGCACCAGACATCTTCCTGCACGAGGGTCTCACCGTAAAGATTGGTGACTTCGGCCTGGCCACAGTTAAGACACGGTGGAGTGG